GATATCGTAACCATCAATACTGACCTCATTATCGGCGATAATTTCATGTAATCGAGTTTCATTGACTGCTAGCGAATCGAGGCATTTACTATGCAAAATGATGCGAAGCTCGTCGATATGTCTCGGTAGACTAGTGATGTTTAAGCAGGCCATTTTAAAGCCACGTTTGCCAGGAATCAATGTTTGAGTATTAAAGGAAAATATATTAGGAGGGACAGAATGGACGTGAGAAGGGGGGCTTGAAGGAGACCCTTCAAGATCCGAGCAAGTTGCTTGTCATAGGTTTAAATGAGAAACAAGATTTTTAACTAATAGCTTTGTACCTTGCAAAGGTACAAATGCTGTTTAATAGTGTTGGTCAGCACAACGGTTCCAGTCTCCTTGTGGTCACTCAGGGCTTGGTGGGGGCGGATCTAGGGGGAGGATCTAGGGGGAGGGTGCAGAGGTGCGCACCCCTACCTCCCTGAGAAAGGGCGAGTAAGATCGTTTTCACGTGACGTCATCAAATTCCAAAATCTATAACAATATTCTGAGAGATCGTAGACTCGAAACCAACCTCTGCGGCATGTACTAAAACCCGAAACAACGAAACGAAACCACCGAAACAAGCGAAACCACCGAAACGAGTAAAATAGTAAGTAAATAAATGAAAAAGTTAAAAAAAAGCCTTGATTTCTAGCACGTTACTATGGCAGCCGGATCTCGTACCCAGATCCTGCTCTTAAGCCAAATGTGTGACATCGTGACATCACAAACCTGGAAGGTGGATGAGCGCAAGCCTGTCGAGCAGGAAGACATCGAGAAAAAGGTGGGTATTTTCACATTCTGAATGGTATTCTAGCTAAAACAAGAATTCTTGAGTTCCCCCGTTTGGTTTACCTTGAGACTCTCCTCCCCCTCCCCCAGAGTCTGTACGGACGGAAAGCCTGACCTTACCCATGGAACTATCACGTAAAATCGCCTGAATATCTTTCCGGAAATGCTCAAGTTGTGTCCTAAATATCACGAAAAAATTGTGATATTGTGAAAAGTCCTCTAAATACCTCTTATTTTTTTGTTTAAAAAATAAATCGAGTTTGGATCACTTATAGGCTAAAAAAATTCATCAAACTATTCTTGCAGTAGTAGGATTTGAGGAAGAAGATTCAGGCGCTTCCATGCTGTCAGCATCCGCCATTTTGGAAAGTTGAGCAATTCATAGAAAAGTGTCCGTTGTCCGTATTAACCGGTCTCCGCTACGATATGCGGGCTAATGTAAGAGAGAATAGATGAGTTTTCATCACGACAAACAAAACTCTCGGCATGAATAATCATAATGTCTTGAACACATCTATGCGGATGTCCGTAAAGAGGGCTTCTGCTCTAGTTACAAAAACTAATTAAACTATATGCCTCTAGTTCATTTTTGAAGTTCAAATGTTACTCGTACTACTTGTCTAATCTCGTACTACTTGTATATTGTGACCTTTTTATGTGTAATATTTAATATCTCATGAAAATCTGTCACCGAATGATAATGTAAAGGTCGGCACACTGTTGCAGGTACAAAATTTTCTCCCCGCCACACATGCATGACTAGTTCAGCTGGTTTGAATACATGCGTCATAAAACAGGGGGAAATGACCTCAACTGTCAATGTCACATCTTGTACTCTCGTAAACTGTACCCGCTTTGACACATTGTTATGCCTCAATCCGCTTTGTGTCCACCATTCCTGCAACATGCGTCCCATGCTTGCACACGAAAGGGCTTTCACCGACGTCCCCGCCACATGTCCCCTATAGTGAGTGCCGAACTGACCTATTAAGAGACCTTAGAAGTAAAATACTTAGTTTCGTACTGCGTGCATGCAGTAGTAGATTGATACCGCATAAGCTACTAAGCTTTAATTTTAATCGTGCTTAAATGAAGGCTGGCTGTCTGTTTGTCTAAAAGGGTCCTAAAGGTTGTCTGTGCCTTTCTTGTGGTCGTGATTTCCAGCGTTCACTTGCGTTCATTGACTTGCATTGATCTTTGTTCACTTTGATCGGGAGAAGTTTGCATCCGACGCACGAAAATAAAGCCGCAGCAGGAACCATAATCGGGTGCCCGATTATGGCTCTTGGCCGCAGCCATAAAGTCAGCGGCCACCCAGTACACCGCTGTTACATTTCAAAAGCTACCATTCCTGAGAGCCCAACATAGGTTTGGCGGGATGCGGGATGAAAGTAAACGTGAAGGCGAGATACAGGATGACAAAACTTTTAATGGCGAGATGCAGGCTAAAAGGTTTTCCTGGTGCGGGATGGTTTTAAAATTGACGGCGGGATGCGGGATGGAAAACGGAAAATCACACGTTACAGGCGCGATCGAGATAAATATCCTGACTGGGGCGGGATGGCCGGATCGAGGCAAAAATAGTGGCAGGATCCGGGATTGAATGTTGGACCCTTACTCCTAATAGACGGAATCTAAGAATAGCTATGACACTGTGAAGTAGATATGTGAAAAACTTTAACAGTATGTGTCATATTGGAAAACTAGTTAGATTTTGCCATCGATATTATTTACTTTCAATGTGTAAGTCAATGAATATTAATGCAACGTTTATCATATCTGAAAACTTAAAAATAAGTCGAGAATATAGCTTTGCACCTGTATACGTGGTGATGAATGTATAAACTGAGAAAAGGCGTCAAACTAAAGAATATCTTGCACTATGTATCAGAGATTTTCCCTTTTACATCTAACTCACAGGACCTGAATTTCAGCTCATAATCCTCATATTATGTCTAGTTTTACGAAAATAACTTATAATTAAGTTGTTTGGCGAGGCTATATAAGGTATCGAGGGAAAAAATTTCCAAAAGTACTCGTCAGTCATACGGAAAAGAGCCAACCGTGGGTGGTGTGTGTTCTGTGCACGAATCAGTATTTTTATTTTTAAAAATTGTCGCGGAGTTTCCTCTCTTATCTTTTGATCTCAAATTTGAGCCGCAAAACCGGTTTTTATAATAAAAAGAAAGAAAGAAAACGGAAACAAAGAGAAAGCACCTGGGCCCATGGTAATCTGTCTCGATTTATGGTTTACGCAGTATACCCGAGTAATATAAATCTAATCTATTTGAAACAGGAACCGACAAGTCCCGAAGGTCAGGCATGGCACGTTTGGTTTAACCCCCACTTTTGTGACGGAGACCAATGCAATAGCGAGACGGTATATATATATTAACGACGGTAAAACGAAATAGCTGTAAAAGGAAGAAAAAAAACTGTTTGATTTATAACTTCCTCAAAGTACTCCTGTTTGACAGAGTTACCGGAAGATGTGCTTACTCCATCCATAGGCTCGTGACTCATCATTCAAACACGGAAACACAATAAGTTTTAAGAAATCAGGCCTAAAACATTCAGATAACCATTTAAAGCAATGTTCTTGCACTCGATGACCTTGACTAACTTGTTCTTTTTGTCCCGCGCACGTTGTCTTTTTGATATCCACTGGACGTGGATATGAATATTGCATCGACTCGTTTTCCATCTGGGTTGAAGAAATCGGTTGAAGAAATCGGCTGAAGAGATTTAAATAATGAAGTTGCCCGGAAACTGGATTGGTTAGAGATTGCAAACGCTCAATGTTTACATCACGTCCTCGCTAACCCCTCAATGAATATTTTATACGTGTTTTTCTCGAACATGCATTCCTTCTGTCACGTAGCGTGTCTATTTAACACTTTCGATAAAGAACAGTGTTCAAAAAGGAGAAGCCTCTGATTTTAACTCTTAATCTGTGAGAATGTGCCACTTTTTATTTTTTTTCACCCCTCCTTTCCCGTTCTTTTGACACCTGCCTCGAGCAAGTCTGAAATTAGAAACTGAGATGTATTGAATCTGCGGCAACGGACATCGTTACTGCTACCGGAAGAGATGAATATCGGCCATCTAAAAGCCAAAACAAAGCAGCATAAGAGTTCTTTTTTTCATTCTTTCAGGGAGATATCTGCTGCAACATGCACATTTCTTTTTCGTTTTTGAGAAAGGAAAAAAAAACACAACTTGTTAAAATGCAGCCCCACACGTTGGTAGATCGATCTCAAAAACAGTTTTATGCTTTGGGAAGTATTTTTGTGGGTATCAGTTTCGGCTAAAATTATTTTCCACTCTATTTCACTTAGCTGACTTTAACGGAGGCCTTTAAAAGATCTCATATTTCAATAATTTAACATGCAAATTACGAACCTCATGCATTTGAACAGGTTGTAAACAATCTGCTTGAAAATAGTAGTTGCCAACCACAAAATATCGTATTTTGAACCTTTGCCGACAAGGGGTAAATTTACTAATGCTCCGAAAACGAATTTCAATCGATAAACAAAAAGCAGTTCATCAAGACCCCAAAATTTTAGAGCTCGGTTTTCGTGTCGACATAAAATTCAATGCTGTATAATTTTCTCGCCGATATAAACTACATGCAAATTCGATGATGACCGATTACCCTCGTATCACCAACAATTTTATTTTTCTGTCTTTCATTTTCACTCAAAGCAAATTAAACCTCATACTTACATGATATTTTCATATGTACAAACTTTTCACTATATTAGCGAACCTAACTGTACAAGCAGTGCTTTAAGATCGGACATTATAAGCTTACCTTAAAGCTTAAAACGATCTCGATATCTTTAAACGCAATATGCGGTAGATTAAAGCTAAAAATTTATCTGCTATTTACAAAGAAACGGGCGAAGATTTCTTACGAAAGAGTTCTAAATTGGTTCGTTCGTATATCAGAATGTCTGTGTGGTTTTTTTCAAGTATAAAAGCTCTTTTAACATTATGAATAAAACATAATCTCTGTACAAAATCCAATGCAGGCTCACTGGACATATAAAAATTTTTAGTTCACTGCGGATCGGTCCTTTTTTTCTCTATTCCCAACCATTGTCTTTTATCATGTGTGCCATTTCAATGATGAATTTCCCTTCTTTGTACTTTTGGCTGTTCTCAAAGGCATGTTCCTATAAAAGCAAAGAAAAAATAGGAAAAAATTAGACCACTCATTTTAAAAGAGTGTCATATTTTCAACATGGCGATAAATTTGCATTTCATCATTGTTTTGCTCCGACCCCGCGAAAAACCCACGCAACAGTACCAGAAGATCGACTGAAAATCTCGCGATGAATTCGAATGGAAGTGAAAGAAGAATGAAATTAGAAAATTTACTCACGTATTTCCATCCCAAAGTTGTTTTACAGCACTCGCAATAAATGTCGGCAACTGCGTGTAGTCCTGTCAACAAAACTCGTTCTTCGGCTGGACCGCAACCAACATTCACTCTGCGAAGAAAACAAAGCCCAAACGACTGTCAAAAGATGAAATACGTCCATAAAACTATTAATTCACCACTGATATATCTGTAGAATATACTCACACTTTATTGAACAAGTAAGCTCGGCCTTGGCTACCTTGGAACGACTGAAATAAAATGAATTGAATCAACATGGCTGTTGTTCTCACGAACCGCGAAGGATGATCTCTTCAGACTTGTAAGTCAATTAATTTCGGTAAAGATATTGCGCCTACCTTTGAAATAAGTTCGTCGTGGTTAGCCAGGTGAGCTCGACAGTGAATGCAGCTATAAGTTCTATGACAGTGAGGAAGATACGCTTGAAACGTTTTCACCATTATGGCAAAGGAAATGGCATAGACCTCTACCAAAACGTCTAAATGTTTCGAAAATGAAACGCTCCAACGAAGAGAACGACACCAATGAGTCTAAAGTGCGAGCACCACTCAGTTAACAAAGTACAGCAGCGGTAGGTCAAATAATTGAGCCTAATCGAAAATGCAACTTTCACATTTTCCTTCGCAAGGTAAACTTTTTCTGTCGCATTCAATGTTGTTTTGAAAATTTGTTTTTCGACGCACGTGACAACAAGCTGGGCTTTTGTTCATTTCCACCAATTAGAATGCAGGTTTAGATAACCTGAGAACAAATGACCAATCAGAGCGTTCATAGTAATAAACATTAGAAAAGAGAAAGGAGGCTCGATCGAACCGGAAATAGAAAATCACGGACGCATTGCGTCATATTTTTCCACTTTCCAGTTCCGTCAACAACGCACAAGGGAGTTTGAAAACATTAATTGTCCTCGGGTTATTTTAATTTCCTTTAGTTCAACTCAATCACAGCAATCAGTGCACTTCCAGGATATTTGAATCAACTCTGAGATTCTAATTTTCGTGACGGAAGGCATGTTCCTGGGTATGTTGATGTGAGCTCCAGCTGTGAGGGTAATACGGATTCAGGGCACGATTCAGTGATACGCTCGAGGTATTTTGTAATAATAATAGCTCTAGAAGGAAAAAGAACTTGGTCATATTCTTAATCATCTGATAAATAAAATGCCAGTTTCCTTGCGATATTGGTCGTGTGAACTGTTTGGATTTCGCTGACCCTGGGATATCAACAATCGTGTTGCTAGTGATTATAGTCCAGATGGCCCTGGGAGTTGTGCTATATCTGTTGGAATTCTCGTTTTTTGGAGATTCCTATCTCTCTCGAAAAGTATAAGAGCACTCTAAATATAGAAATCTTCGAAGATAACCGAGAGAACTGGCTCGATTAGTGGTTTCTACGAAAAGCGCGGGAAAGAATTCCGTGACTTTATCACGCCACTTAGCCTTGGTTGAATGAAAATCAGGACAAAAATCACTGGCCCTTCTGTGATCACAAAAGCACGTTATCGTAAGCATCACGGTGCAGCTGGGCTTACTACAACCCTTGGGGTACCCCCTTCCATTGTTGCGGCATGCGACATGTAGACACCCCTAATAATCTTAGGGAGGCTATGTACCTCAAATATATTGCATCGATATGAAACACAGACTTTTTTTTGCCTAATTTAGTTTGTAGTATACGAAACGCACGTCTTGATACTTTAAACTATCCTTTGTGGGCTGAGGTGAGTGTGATTACCTTTGCAAGACAACATGCCCAGCCTCCTTCCGATCAGCACGTCTTGAAGAATCTGGGTACAAGTTAAGTCTTTCCATCATCTCGTCTGGGGAGGAGGTCACGAAGATTACCTGTCCTAATCCAGCACCACTATTTCAATGATGCCTCCACTTCCCATTGTGTGGTGCTGCGCAACGCCCCCTACACCAATTAGTTCTTATATTTTACGACTGTATACCGAACACTTCACCGGTGATTTCACTCTCCTTGACCAAGTGCCCCTCACTGACCTGAGCGAAAAGGAACGAGAGAACGTACTAGGGATACTGTGTACCGGAGGTTTTGCACAATCGAAAGTCATCCTGGGCAAAGAGATAATGGATTCGCTGCCTAATTTAAAAGTGATAAGTACTCCGAGCACAGGCATAAATCATATTGATATGGAAGCAGCTTCTGCACGTGGAATCCGTGTAGGCCACACGCCAGGACATTTCTTAAGTGACAGCGTCGCAGATTTTGCATTCGGGTTACTTTTGGCTTCTGCAAGATCTATTATAGATGCAGACAAAGTAGCCAAGTCATCAAATATTACTTCTTTTCAGGTATCGGTAGAATGTACAGCTAGGTCCGCAACGCGTACATGTGTAATGAAACTTACCATTATCAAAGCAGGAGGTCTGAATGGGAGAATCTTGACCTCTTGACGAGGTCCTGAGTACAAACCAAGCGCAGTGAGGTCTGCACACATGCTCGGGGTCAAAAACAAAAATTTGATTTGTTTAATTTAACTGGTTTGTACTAGCTGACATTTTGCCAGCTTGTGAACGGCAAAAAGCTTGCACCTTAGGTGCTTGTTGTTTCGTAAATCAGTCACCATTTATCTGCTAGGGTGCATGCATTTGCATCCCATAACAGAAATATTCACAACAGTTCTAAGCCAAGAGCTGTAATCTGAACCAATTCCCACTGGTTTGTTTTGCCGCCTGACTGACTTGAATCCTTGAACTGCCAATTATTGAAGGATGTCAGTCTCAGAAGGTTGAATAAGTTAACATATCAAACTAAGTTGTGCAACAGCTTACACCAAACATCAGTGATTAGAATGTCACCAAGAAGGATCTTACCAGTGTGCCAACCAATGCAGTAGTTGAAATAGAATTTTGCAAGTTCACTTGTCCTAATTTGGTTAACTGACGCTAGTGGAATATATTAATTTGCCATAGTACTATTTTTTTTAATGTATTTTTCTCCAGCATCTTGCTCAGTTTATTCCTCCTGGTCATCAAGTAACTGGATCTACTATTGGCATTGTTGGTTTGGGAAACATTGGAAGAGCTGTTGCTGAACGGGCTAATGGTTTTAAAATGAACATCTTGTATCACAGTCAGACTCGAAAAGAAGAACAGGAAAAATATTTAGGTAGGAAATAACCAGCTGTTGCTTTCTCTTGTCTTTATGACCCCACTCCATTCATCCTCATCATCATGACGTAAAGATTGTTAATCATCATCATCAACCATAATCATCGTTAGTAACATCATAGCTGCTCAGAAGCCGAAGAATAAATGAAACAAGCACCATAACATAAGCCCTGCATGGTCAAGTGTAAAGGGCATTGAGCAGCATATCAAACGGAATAAAATATAGTCCCCTTTGACCCTTAATCATGTCTATAACAAAATTCTCGATCGTGATTGGTTCTCCGCATGCCTAATCGTCACGTAATTGGCACGCAATTACATGGGTGTCCAATTACAGGTATCCAATTTGAACTTTTTGTAATTGGATACCTGTAATTGGACACCCACAGGATTTGCACATCAATTATGCACGCTCTCATGGCTTCCTTCGCTCTGTTTCCTACAGTTTTCAAAGCTAATGAAAAGCGCTACAGACATTTTCGCTCAAATGAAGTTCTCAAAAGCCATTTATAATTCAGAAAATTTGTTACAGATACGATTAATTAGTAATTGGACCTCATGTCATACAATTCAAGGAGTAATCGTGCTCGTAATTTCAAGTCGGCCTTGCACTTCATGCTTGTCTGATTTTGAAACTACTTGCAGGATTACTCCCAGAATTGTACTCCACTCAGTCCAATTACTATTACTAATCAGAAGGTATTATAATTTTCCTTTTGAAATCCCACCCTTCAAGAATTTAGAATGGTGAATTTTGATTTTTTTGCAGGGGTTAAATTCTGTGCAGAACTGAAGGCGCTCTTGACAGAATCAGACTTTGTAGTCTTGTGTGTACCACTCACAGCACAAACCAAGAACTTAATTTCATCTAAGGAGTTCAGTTATATGAAGCCCACAGCAACCCTGATCAATGTAGGCCGTGGGGGAACTGTCAATCATGATGATCTCACTACAGCATTACAGAACGGAGTTATCAAAGCAGCTGCCCTGGATGTGACGGAACCAACATCACTTCCAAGGGATCACCCACTGTTAACCATGCCAAATGTGATTCTTAGTCCACATATTGCAATGTATACAGCAAGCGCTCTAGAAAAATCGTGGTTTACTGTACTCGAACATGTGAAGGCCGGAATCAAAGGCGAAGAACTACTTTACCCAGTGAACTGAGTCAGTCTACTGATAAAGCTTGGCAAATATATTTAATACCAATTAAGTTAAGAGAATATTCTTTTCAAAAAGGTAGTGGTTTGGAAGGTTATAGAACACATGCTTCTTGTAACATAATTTCTGTCAAGGGACCACTTAATATTTTTAAAAACAAAAACATTTTCAGTTCTTTGTCATGTTTTAAATGCTACTAGTGTCCCTGTTAAACTTTTTTACTGAAAAATAAACGCTGCCTATGAAGAAGAATCAGAAGATTTGTTCTCTCAAGACCCTTTGATGACTGCATTGTCCTATAAACCACACACCCTGAAGGTAATATTTTCACACCAGCATAATATCATAAATTCATAATAATAACACAAATTATAATCCATCTAATATTTTAATTCGCACATGATTGGTCTAAAAGTGCCACATGACTGAATATTCCCCAACTACAACTGGGGAATATCTGAGTAATATTCCCCAATTTTCAAAACTGCGCCATGTTGCAAAAAATATATGAAGGATAGTAAACACAAGCCTCCACTTGGTGCGAAAATATGCTCACATATTTGTCCTTGGACATTATCTGTTGCTCAAAGCTCACGATATTTTCCACAAGCTACGTTCTCGAAAAAATGTTTGCTTCTTGGAACAGATAATGTCCGCAGAAAAATATCTGAACATATTTCCGTGCCAAGAGACCATGATCTAAGAGAACACATCCCCCATACACGGGCCTCTTCCAATGATAATCTTTTTCAATCTAATTTTAGTGCTTGGTCAAACTGTGAGGCTATTTTAGTAAAGACACCCAGTTGGCCTATTTAATTGATGTAATAACACTGAAAGTTTAATTTTGACAGTTAATCAAATATGCAAAAACTTGCACCTGGATCTTTGGAGTGCAGTTCATAAAGACAGAGGGAGAAAAATTCTAACTGTCTGGCACTTTAAAAGAGCTTTCCAAAGATATCTTATTCACTTTAGGCCATTCAGTACTTTTTGAGAACGACTTTAGAGTGGGTTAGAATGGAATTCTTGTCAGCAACTATAGCGCCTAATGAGAATCAGTCATGGAGAGAAAGGACAAGATTAATAATTTTTGAAGTAAACTGAGGATAAACACATAGAAGATAATTTTCCTGCCCAGCACTTTGAAAATGCTTTTCAAAGAGGCCTCTTTCGATCCAAACAATGTGGTAGTTCCAGGGAAACTGTTTTTTCGCTTTGGACATCCAAACTCTGGTAAATATTACACAGCACTTTCGAAATTAATTATGTAAAAATTTGCATCCGTATTTTTGGAGCGAAAGTTCTAACAAACTGAAAACAAGTATTTTAGCTGTCCTGCGTTTTGAAAAACCTTTCAAAAGAGATGTTTTTCAATTTAATCCGTTCAGTACTTTTCGAGAAACGACTTTCAAACGTGTTTATTGGAATGCAATTCTTGTCAGCAGCCATGGCATGGTGCCTCATGTGAATCAGTCATGCAGAGAAATGACAAGACTTATTTTTGAAGTAGACTTAGGATAAACACATTGAAGATAATTTTCCTGCCCGGCACTTTGAAAAGGCTTTCTAAGGAGAACTCTCTTGATCCAAACGTTGAGGTAAGTCTGGAGAAGCAGCTTTTCTCGCTGGGGACATGCAAACCTGGTAAATATTACACAGCACTTCCGAAATCAAATATGCAAACATTTGCACCAGTTGTTTCAAAGCAAAAGTTCTAACAAATGCGAAACAAATATTTTAGCTGTCTGACTTTCGAAAGAGGTACTTTTCGCATCAATCCGTTAGGTACTTTCCAAGAAATGACTTTCAAGCAGGTTAGAAATTAGAGTCTTGGCGCTTTGTGTTAATCATTCATACAGGGGAATTAATTTTTTAACTTTGGAGAAGCATGTATAATTTTCCTGCCCTGTGAGCACTTTGAAAATATTTCCAATGCTAACAGTGTGGTATACATGTAGTTCAAAACAAACTTATTTTTTCTCTTAACCCGCCAGATTTTCAATTTGGTATTTACTATAGTAGTCGCGACCCGATGACACTTGGCCATTGCCTGCACGATCTTGGGACCGAGACTAAAAATAACTTTGACAACGTGATGTGAAGCTTAAAATAGATTGAAAAAGATTATCATAGGGCACGGGGATGTGTTCTCTCACCTCGTTTTCTCTTGTCCGCACCAAATGGAGGCTATTGTTTATATAATCTTAAAGACTGGTTTTTGACATGTTAAGGCTCAGACTGAAAAACACCAAGGTAAGGGATTTGAGAAGAAAGTTAACAAATTAGTGCACCAAAGAGTAGGATTAAAACCTGTCTAATAATACATTGTAACATTGTTATACACACAGTACACATACACTGGATTGTTATGATTTATTGATAATATATGTTCATTCATACATAAATACTTTGATATCAAGTCTCTAAAAATTGCTTTCCAAATAAAATAAAGGATCTCTTTCCTTCTTCAAAAAACATCTCATTCGTCTATCATAAATGAATTTAATCATCTATTCTGTTTATACAGACATACAATATAGTCATCATTTTTACAAAATTCTTGGTAAGATGAAACTCATTAATTTTACTTTGTTGTTTAATTTGAGCAGTTCAAATAAGGAAGCACTAAGTTAGTGTGAGTGGTGATTTCCCTACAATTTTTTCCAACAAAAGAGAGAAGAGCTACTGAGCGGCACCCTTGAAGTGAGTCATAACTACCAGGTGCACAATATTCTGCCCCCTCAAAATCTCCTGAGAGACCTGTCTGTGGTTCCAATAGAGCACATCTTTACCATTCACACTCTTTAGAAACATCCGTACCTGCATGGAAAGAATTCAAATATCCTAGTCAATCGTTGCACAGTGTATATCTCATGTTAGTATCACCCAAATAGTGGACTAATGCAAATCCTACATTTTTATTGGCTACGCTACCATAGGGCTATTAGTAATAGTCCTCGAGTAGTGAAATTGGCGCAATCAAGCATGACGCTTTCTTTCATTTTATTCCCAAATAAATATTTCTTCAACTTGCATTTACTAACTTTATTATTGCCCTTTCTGTCTGACTAGTTGGGTGATACTGAAACAAGTAGACCCTTCGCCCTCAAGGGCCATGGGTCTTATTGTTAATTATACATTCAGATTATGGGAAGAAAAGAAAAATGGTATTGCTAAGCAAAGGAAGGTGTGGTAAAGTCTGCATACGGGCAAAGCGGCCCATCTTATCTCTGGTTTTTATCTAGCATGAAGTGACTAACAGTATTTCTACTCCCCCCTGGATGAGATGGTATTTCATTGCAGGGTTACCCACTGCATTATATCCACTGATCTGGGTGGAGTCGAGAGGCACTGAGAGTAAAATGTCTTGCCTGGGAACACAACACTGTCCCTGGCCAGGCCTGGAGCTGGGACCACTTGATCTGGAGTCAAGCATGCTAATTGTGAGGCCACAGTGCCTCCCAAGCAAAAGGTAGTAGAAAAGAACAAAGTGAAGAGAGAGGGAGGGAGGGAGGCAGAATAACCTTACCAGCAGCTGCAAAGGACTGAGATGATCGCTCCACCCACCTTTAAACCAGCAGCAGCTGCTGGTCCTTTAGGATCTATTGTTTGTACGTAGACAGGACTGGAGCCCCGAACAACAAAACCAAAGCCTACTGCATCACTCTTTACCTACACAGAGACAGAACCAGAGTTAATAGCTTTAACAAATTGACGTCAGTTTTTTATGTGTCTGTCCTTGTACTGATGATGAATTGCGTCATAACATTGTTAAAGTGGCTGTGGAACCACGGGCCATCGGGAATAAATGAGGGGAGAAGATGCCATACAACTTGCCGTAAACAAAGATAAGTGAATTTTATTCAAAATGACATGAACATTGTCAATAGCTTTTCTCGCTTTTTGATTGACTATTTAGAAAGTCCATAAAATCTCTTTGGTTAAAAAGTTGACAGCTGAAAGTTGAACTTGAAAGTTTGCATAAATTAAAATTTTATCCATCTGCACTCTTACTGATAAAAAAGAGCCAATCAGCACACAAGAAATAGGACAGTTACTGTAAAAATGTTTGACTTTTATAGCACTCATTTGAAGCATGTAGATACAGCTGCCTTTTATCATTTGCCCTCAGCCTGATGGTAGCACGTTTGTTGTTGTTTATGATTAGAGACAATATAATAATTATTGTTCCTATAAAGAAAGAGAACTGGACATCTCCCTATAATATTTAGAAAATAGCTTAAAGAAAATATGTGTACTGACTGGTTAAAAATTGTGTTTATAACTTGATAGAAACACAGAACTAGCACAAACTGTTGATGTAATGATGGGGCAAGCAGAGAGAATTTATCTTTAAATGATCAAAGTAAACAAGTTGTTTACCTTTTTTGTCATGGAATTTTCTATAAAAAATGGAAAGCATGTTCTCTGTGTTTCTATCAAGTTATAGAAACACTCGCGAAAGTTGGGGAGAACTCAAAAGAGCTGTGGAAGCACCTGTATGTTGGCTCATGTTCCCACCACATTTCTCGTTCTCCCAAACTTCCACTTGTGTTTTGCAGTACAATTTTCTATTTCTTAAATGTATCTTATAATGCTTAAAATGTTCCAAAAAACAGCCATGGCAATAATAAATACAGAAGACAAATACAAGGAGGAAAATGACAACTTACAATGACATTCTTTGTGATATAAGGTCCATCTGGATCCAACAGTTCTGCTGTAGTGATTTCTCTTAAAATAACTTCAAACAACCAAATACAAAATTAAGTCACACTTACATATGTTATGGGTGAACAAAAGTTTCAGAATAGAACTATGAACAATGAGCATGAGATCAAATTATTCCATGCAATATTGATACCTGGTCTGGGTGACTGGTTGTTTGGGCTGCCACTTGATGGGAAGAAATCTGGACTATCAGGCGATCTTTGGTAATCTAAACAGTTACAAATTTACAATCACTTATATGCACCATAGTACAAGGAAATAATACATGGAACCAAGACTTGATTGGATTTGGTTTTGCTCAATTCTGATTGGTCACGCCAGGTGGTGAAAGTTCTTTAAACCAATCTCAGTTTGGTTCTACTGACTGTCAGCCAGTGAGGGTATTAGTTAATAAAATGTCTAATTCTTTAAGAACACATAATGACATTCATTTGATAATAGCTGGTCTCTGAACCCAATCTCAATTCATTTAGACATGCTTGAGAAAAAAAAGATAGTAATACTGTAAGCATTTTTTTTTTATCCTTACCAAATGGCTCTTCCAACTGAGGCCTTTCTTTTGCAAAAGGGACTGGACTGGATTTTTGTGTGTTCAGAGGCGCAGGGATATTCCTTCGTCTCAAACTCCTTGGGGAGCCTGGAAGCTTGTCATCAACAATCCCCAGTGCATCGATCATCTTTTTATTTACTTCCTTGTCAATCATAAATTGATAAAAGACATTTTCATCTCTGAAGTGAAACTCATCTGTAACTGCGTGATAAAAGAAAGTTCAGAAAACTTTAACAAATAATTTATAAGGAATCTGGCAATGATCCAAAGTCTTGGAAGGACTTCTTTAATGATCTATCAAAGTCCCTTGGCAGTTATTAGTAAGCATACTGACAAGTAATAGTAATAATAAAGATGACTTGCAATAAGATAGGTTATACCCATTTCTTCAGGCAGGAGTGCTCATTGCAATCTTCATACCATCAATTTTGTTAGTCTAGTACATGAGTTTATTCATTCAAATTGCACTTGAAATAATATTAAATAATTAACATATGATTAACCCAGCCTAAACTATGCATGTTTATACACTCTTAACTGTCAACTTCCCATCCCTGCTTACCATGCTTAATGATTCCCTGGTCTAGAAGTTCTCTTCCAAGTATCACCCCCTGCCCTCTGTCAGAAACTTCACCATTTTGTATTAGCCAGTCTACCAGCTCACGGCCTGTAAAACAGTTCCTGTACACAAAGTCATGACAAGGACGTGACTTAATCAGCTGACAATCCTCATTCTTTGCCCTGCACAAAAACAAATAATTACCAAATTATTATTCTTTGAAATCGAGAACTACTGGTTTTACCAGTAATTATGTTATCCAGCCAATAAAGTCATTATTATTATTATTATTATTATTATTATTATTATTATTATTATTATTATTACTAGTAGTAGCAGTAGCAGTGGCAGTAGCAGTAGCAGTAGTAGTAGTAGTAGTAGTAGTATCATTATTATTATTATAAATATTCTGCTGCACTGAAATTAAAAAGAATTATTGTTTTAGTATATACATACGAAGTGATGTCAAAAACAGACGAAAAGGAAACCATTAAAAGTCAATGTAATTGACCTCTCAATGTAATTGACCTATGCATGGAAAACATGCAAACAGCACTGAGCATGCGTGAAACTATTTACAGAATTTTCGAACATGGCAAATCTTGTTAACCTTTGATAAAATCCTCATCATACATACTCTAGTGAAATGGTCTTTTAACACCATTCAAATCAGCAATCTTACCAGTAATCAAAAGAACAAATTCACCACTCAATCAAAGTTATCTTTTTCACTTGAGATAAACATTGAAAGAGCAGTAGGGGAAGAATCGATCTGATTATATTTCGTATTTGCTGAAAACTGATTGTTTTCTTGCGCAACGATGTGAAGGTGCTTCATTAAAATATAGCACTTGATGCTTCTGCCGATGAACCCTGCCAGGGCTTGAAATTAACCTTTTCGTTTGGGAGCCAGCCGGCGAGTAACGGAAAAATTTTGGTCGCCAGATCGTAAATTTTGGTCGCCAACTTATCTTATATATTTTTTTTTTTTTTTTTTTTT